TAGTTCAGTTCTAGTTCAGTTCTAGTTCTAGTCAGTTCTAGTTCAGTTCTAGTTAAGTTCTAGTTAAGTTCTAGTTCAGTTCTAGTTCAGTTCTAGTTCAGTTCTAGTTCAGTTCTAGTTCAGTTCTAGTTCAGTTCTAGTTCAGTTCTAGTTCAGTTCTAGTTCAGTTCTAGTTCAGTTCAGTTCTAGTTCAGTTCTAGTTCAGTTCTAGTTCAGTTCTAGTTCAGTTCTAGTTCAGTTCTAGTTCAGTTCTAGTTCAGTTCTAGTTCAGTTCTAGTTCAGTTCTAGTTCAGTTCTAGTTCAGTTCTAGTTCAGTTCTAGTTCAGTTCTAGTTCAGTTCAGTTCTAGTTCAGTTCTAGTTCAGTTCTAGTTCAGTTCTACTTCAGTTCTAGTTCAATTCTAGTTCAGTTCACTTCTAAATTAATACAACAATCATCCTTGTCCCGTTAAAAAAATCCCAAAACTCAATTAAGAGAGATTATTTTTTTTCATCATTTTTGGCAAATACTTAAAAGTAACCGATTTCTTATTTGTTCAATAAATAAAATACTTCAATATTTATTTAGTTTATTATAGAATAAACGTTAGGAAAGATATTCAGTAACTAAGTAAGTATTTTTAAATACAATTTAACACAAATACACACAGTTAAGTCTTGACCCTATTGTTTATTCAATACCAAATATATTAGCGTTTAATTTACTGTTTACAAAAATAACAACAAAAAACTATTAAAAACTAAAGATAAGATTATTGTATCTTATAAATATTTCGTTCTCTAGCAGATACAGATACCAAAAAAAAAAAAAAAACTAAACGATTGATGTTGTCATACTAAAAATTAAATGGTTGGTTAAATTTTGCAATTTGTTGTATTTTTTTAAGTTCGAATTCGTGTATTTAATTTTAAAGTGTATTAAGAAAACTATTTAAAAAACAATGTTTATAAAATGAAATGGCATTCAGCTATTTTAGGTGGAAGAGTTTGACTTTTAATTGTTTAAAAAAGCAAAAAATTAATAATCACTCATCTTACAGCTATAAAAGATATTTATTATTTGTTTTTAATAATAGTAGGAGTTTAAGTATTATTTTTATTTGAAACTTAAAACCAAAATAACATTTGTTTAGCTATTTATCCGTCTGCCTTTAAGTGACAGTGGTGGGTTTTTTCAGTCTTTTTTATTTATGTTCATTTGCTTTGTAATTTATTTATTAATAACATATTTATTATTTTTTAACTTACCCATTGATAAATAAATTAATAATGTTAAAAATATCCATTGTACTAATTGACCAGCTGGATAAGAGTTGTAGGACCAGGAAATTGATCTTTTGGTGGCGCAACTGCTAAAGGCAGTTTTATCATTTTGACGATTACTACTCATATTCGAAATCGAATTCGAACTCTTATTCGAATCTGTTGTTATTGCTGCTGTTGTTATATTTGTATTTTGATGCCGCCAATGTTGTTTTGTTAATGCATTTTCTTTATAGGGTTTTGTTCTTATTGTTGTAGCTTCAACTGCTGATGTTGCAGCTATTGTTGTACTACTTGGTAGTTCTTGTTGTTGTACATTTGCTGACGCATACTTTGGCGTCGACATTGTTGCTGTTGTTTTAGGAATTGTTTTCAAATTTTGTTCTGTTATCGTTTTCGTTGTTGTTCTTCGTTTTTCTATTCTTTTATGTGATTGATGTTCATTATTATTTTTATTATTACATATGTATTGTTGTTGTTGTTGCTGCTGCTGTTGATGCTTTTGTTTGTATTGATGTTGCATTGCCGCTTCTAATGATGATGATGAATATGATAATGGTGTTGGTAATGAATCTAATGATGTTCGCATTTTATGTTTTGGCCGTTCGTTTATTATTTATTTTGTTTTTGTCAAGCCAGCAATGTTTCTAACGATTTTTTTTGTTGTTTTAAATCATTAAGACTTTGAATGTTTTTTCTTATTATATTTTTGTTTAATTATTGGTTTTATTTACATACACACATACACTCTCTTTCTAGTGTAAGTTTATATGTGTGAGTATATCTTTTATGCAAAAAAGAATTTGTTTTCTATAAAATTGAGGTTAATTTTTGGTTAATTTTTTTTTTTTTTAAATTTGTTAATTTCCAAACACAACATTCAACAGCTTGTAAATAAGTACTTTAATTTCTTTCTTTCCATTTGTGACAATAAAATAAAGTTACACTTTCTCATCTAGAACTGGTTGTTAGTTTGGTTATGACAACGTAAGAATTTTAAAGGAATGAAATCATAAAAAGTGAATGTTGACTAGAGACGAACTAGAACTGAAACTAAAATAATTAAAAATATTTCAACTAATTGAAAATAACTTGAAATATATAATTTAAATTTTCAAAACTTAAATAAAAAAGATAAACTTTTAGAAATATTTAACAAAATTTGTATTTTATAAAATATTAAATATATCAATAACTAAAGAATTCATTCCTTTGAATCTCTTGCTCTTAGCCATAATTTGTTACTGTTGGTTTTTGTTGCTTTTTAAGAAAGAAAAAAATAAAAAAATCTACTACTACTTGTTACCACTTTTATTCTTCATTTTCTCATTACCAATTTACAATCAAATTACATTAAACTTTCTTTCATTTCATATTTTTTTTATAATAAAAATTCTTCATACACAAACCTTTCGTTTTTTATTTTTTTTAATTTTATTTGATTATTATTAATTTATTCACAATTATATGTAGAAAACGCAATTGCTCTTTTGGCCTTTTCTTTTTTTTTTAATAATTTAATCATTCAACAATCATACGTTTATGATAATATTTCTTTATTTTATTATTAAAAATTCAATTTTCATTTCACTTAAACCGAAAAGATACTTATTCACAAGTTGTTTTTTGTTTTATTAATTTTTTTTTTATCCAATTTACATAAAAAGACAACAACAAAATTATAATTTTTCTGTTTGAAATAATTTTTCATAAAAATTTGTTGTCTCTCTTACACTTGCACTCAACGTATTTAGCCATCTCAAGGGGCTTTAGGAAACGTCGCGCTTAAATCCCGGCTGTGGCACTTTTCAAAAATAAACAACAATTACGCTCGAGAACAGATTGTAAACTGAATTTTTGCTAACAAAAATACTCAGTCAGTCTATCAGTTCAGCCAGCCAAACACTAATACAACAACAAAAGTATCTAGACTCTAAAATACAACAACAATAATAACTCACATGCATACAAATTAATGTTTGCGCTAACACGTTAGTTAAATGACCATGTTTAGTACGTGTATATATGCAATGCTGTTCTTATAGTTGTTGTTGTTGGTGTTAACAGTTAAAGTGGTAGTTGTGGGTAGAGTAGTGTTTACTCTACTCTTCGATACATTGAGAATGAGATATCTATACTAGAAGTGTGTTAGTAAGCGATTTATGACCCACTAGTTGGTGTAGTGTAACCATAGTTATGATTTGTGACCAGGTAAACCAAAGTGGAAAAGAGACAAATGTTGTTTGATTTAGCGAATACGTTAAACAAATGCAGGTGTTTAATGTTTGGTGTGCAGGTATTGAAGATACAGGTAATTTAATATAGGTTGTAGTAACTGATAGATATTTTTGGTATAACACATATTTACTGTTATACAGATAGGTTTTAGGTTGTTGTCCTGACTAACGATCATTGAAAGAAGTCATTAGAGTGGTAAGTTGTTGTAAAATTTATATTTGAAATAAGTTGACGTTGTTTCTATAAGATCAAAATTAAATATAATTTTTAATAACGTAATTAAGCTTTAGGAACGATTATATTATTTCTAAAATTTCTCCAATATGGGTAAAATCAGTTACACAAATTGTTCACAGTTTATAAAGTTAAAGTTTGGTAGGGACAATTATGGACCGATCCTCTTGAAATTGAATATATGGACTTTGGTTTATAAAAATCTTATTTATCAACTGTACTAGCTATCTAGCTATGAAAGTTAAAAACATTTGATCTTATTCATAATTATTTATCAAAGGTTTATATGGCCATTTTGAATACCAAATTAGTAGTTCACTGCACGCGAACTGTCAAGTAGAGTCGAAAAGACTTCGGACCACTCCAATCGTTAGATGTAGTATTTATAGTATTAGATCCAACCTGTAGCTGTGAGAAATCGGAGGTTATTATTAAGCTTAGATATCTTACCAAGGTTAAATATGAAGTAACTGCAAGGAAGCGGTTTCTCTTTACGGCCAGAGCGGGGCATTCACAGAGAAGATGTGAATGCAACTGCGACCGTGATCGTTGAAGATTCCAATGTTGCCGCGAATATCGAGGTATGTAGTCAGTTTAAAAATAATAAATTTTTAGTTATGATAGTATTCAAGAAAGTATAAGCGTTAAAATGTAATATTTTGATGGGTTCTTATATAGGGTTTAAGATCAAATGTGATCTAAATTTCAATAAACTTTAGACCACATTTTTTGGGTTTTTAAAGATCATCTGTAATAAATATGATCAGAATTGTGAAATTTAAAATCGTTTTTTTTAACATTTGAATATACTTTAGATTTTCAATACAAATTTAAAAAAGTGGAATTAAAAATACACGTTATAAAAATAAACTGAGATTTTACAGTTTAAAATTTTAGATGTGGAGCGTAAAAAAGTGAATTTTCTAATATCCGAGACTTTAATGTTTCTAAGTTAACTAATTTTAGTATATTCTAACTATTAAATTTAGCACATTCAAAAGCTTTTTGTGTAACAATTAAGAATGGAATTTAAACTATTATATTCTCTGATAACACTAACATTTTTTTAAATTTACATATAACCGTTTGCGAAAAAATTTTCAAGTTTCCCCTTTCTAAATATTTATGAAAAATTTTAATTAGAAATGCATAAAAAAAGGAAATAACTGATAACAAAAAAATATTTACACAACAAAAGAACTTCCGCTTTTAACTAGACCAAAATTTTCTCTATATTAACCCTATCACATAAATACTTGTCATAAAACTTTAACAACTACTGCCAGCAGAACAACATTTACAAAGTGTTTTACCATTACCAGCCATGTTTCATCAAACATTAAAACAAATTTACTTACTTTTATTTGTTATACAAACCATTGTGCAGGCTGAAAATATTACGGACTCTGATGAAATATTTGATAGCGATAACATGGATAATCCTGAAGAAACTGGACCGTATTTAGAAGGTGATATTAAGGGTGCAGCCGATGATTTCTTTAATATTCTACGTAATGGTATAGTGTCTACTTCCTATAGATGGCCTCAAGCTATAGTGCCATACGAAATTGAAGGAAACTTTGCTACAAATGAATTGAGCATTATATCACATGCCTTTAATGAGTATCATACCAAGACGTGTGTACGTTTTCGCAAACGTACCAATGAAAAGGATTACATAGTGCTTACCAATAAGCCAACTGGCTGTTGGGCTAGTTTGGGACGTATGGGCGGTCGTCAAGAAGTTAATCTGGAATCGCGCAAATGTTTTTTCAACTATGGCACCACTATGCATGAGTTAATGCATGCTTTGGGTTTCTATCATGAGCAGAATCGTTTTGAACGTGATTCTTATGTCAAAGTAATAACGGAAAATATTAAACCTAATATGCTGGTGAATTTTGGTAAAGTTCCTGTTTCTGCTGCCACGGCTTATGGAGTTCCTTATGATTATGCCAGTGTTATGCATTATAAATCTACCAGTTTCTCTAAGAATGGTAAACCTACCTTGGAAGCTTTACAAGCTACACCGGAAGCTGCAAAAATGGGCCAACGTTATGGTTTCTCTAAAGGCGATATTCTCAAAATTAAAGCCATGTACCGATGTCAATGAAAATAGTTTTGGATTATAGCAATAACAATTTTATTTAAAATGTGTTTTTATTTAAAAGTGAAAATATATAATTTTTTTAAAATCGAAGTTGTTAACAACAATCTTTGGTTATAAATTTACTGTAACTACAACTAAACTACAATATATGTATATTTCTCAAATCTTTTCAATTAATAAAAATATTTAATCAATTTCTTTTAAGAATAATGGAAAATAAAATAATTATCGAATTGGTTATTTATATAAAAAGAAATTATGATCATAAAGTTTGTTCAAAATATTAAAACTACTAAATTACTTGTTTAAAACTTTGTACAGACTTCTAGCAAACTGAAAAAAAAAAAAAACATTTTCAATTTAATACTATTCGAAATATGGCACTTTGAAATTCAATATATGGCACTTAATTCGAACTTCTGTCTTACATTAATTTTTGATTAGAAATTTCATATTTAAATATGAAGTTTATACTCGAATATTATCAAAAGAAAATAAGAAATTTTCCTTAAAAATTGATTTTTTGAAGTCTGTACCAAACTGGTTAATTATTTAAAATAAAAATTATTAAATATTATTAGGTTTAGATATTTACTTTGTAATCACATACTTTACAAAAAGGTATTTCGTTGTCTTCCTCCGTAAGTGTGTGTTTTACACTCTCCTCTAGTTTTCTCATACGTTTTTAGTGTTGTGTTAGATTTTTGTTCTTTTCAAAAAATACATTGCTTTGTATGGTCAATTCCTTGCATAGTGTGGAAAATCTTCGTATAGCTTGATACGAATTTCCATCTTAAAATATAGAAAAATTTGCATATTAAAGGAAACACACATTTATAAACATTTTAAAAATACGCCAAAACGCTGTGGTCATTGTTGCAATTGTTATTAGCATATTGAAGTTGTGATGCAATGTTAAAAAATTTTGGTGAATGGGTGTTTAGTTGGTTGGTTAGTGAGAGGCGGGCGATAAGAAACATTTACGCCAAGTCGTTGTCTTTAGACGTTTTCTTGAGCTTTTTCTTAACTGGTGACTGGTTTTGGTGGTGGTGTTGATTGTTTGCATAGTAAGCTTTTACTTTACAGATATTATCAGTGTGGTCGAGAAAAGGATCCCAGGTTAGCATTAGTTGTGTTGTTAGATATGGTAGGACTAATAGTAGGAACAGTAGAAGTGTTAGCCTTTAAAATACCACTAGTAGTCTTACCTCCTGCATTAAGTGTATCTAAATTCATGACCATTTGAATGTTGCTGGTGGAACCATGACACGAACGATTGTTGAGGAAATCTCTTATATGTTGAACAATCAAATCAATGGCAACTGTAAAAAGAAAAGCACAAAATATGAGAATATTAGATTCGGTTTGAAAATAAAATGCTTAAATCTCTGGCAGTGAGTATAGAGGTTAAAAGACAAATAACATTAAAAGCGCTTACCTAGAGCCTCTGTTACGTATAAAACGTTAACGAACTTTTAAAAGCATGAAGCACGGATTTTAAAGAAAACATAATAAAAACTCTTACAATGTTTAACATAGTAACATAAAATGTATATGTATGGTATAAAATGTTTTATTGAGCTCAAAAATTAATTGCAAATTTCTTTAACATAACTTCCTTCCTAATTTATTGAGCATAAAGATTGATTGATTTTGTATTATTGTTGTTTTCTCAACAACTTACCTGTTTTAAAGCTATAAATAGAAGTTTATTTTATCTAAGTTGTAAGTGAATACGTGTTGTATGCTAAAAGTGTTATTCATTGCTTACTTTCTATGAATATTGTTTTACTACTTTAAACTGTGTTCATTTTAAGATAGATTTTGGATTTATTTGGCTTTTTTTGTTTTGTGTCTGTTTGTTAAATAAAACTTAAGAACTACACCAACTAATACGTTAGTTAAGAAAAATTTGTGAACGATAATAAAAGAAGAAAAATGCAAGATAGTATTAATTACGGAAACTAATTGTGGTTTCTTGTAAGAACCACACAAAATTCAAGATGCAGTAAAACATATTTTCATTTGAATACAAAACCAAATCAAGGAATGTGGATAACATATTAAGTATATCAAAACTTTAGGGGCTAAATTTTAAGCAAAAAACATCAATCAATACAAAAGTAGAAAATGATTATGTAAAGATGAAAGATACTATGAAAACTGCATCATGAATTTCTCTGGCTAACAAAGTTAACATTAAATTTTAAGCTTATATCAAAAATAGGCATTGGCCATCAAAGATAGGTACTTCTATGCGACCCACATTATGTACTTAATGTTCCCTTATAATATTGTTTTTAGAAGGAGTTGTGTTGGTAGTAGTTGATTTATAAACAGTAGTGGTAGTAGAATGTGTACTATTAGCTGTAGTATTGTTGGCCACAGTGGTACCCGTAATATTAGCACTGCTACCTGGTCTAAGGATTTCACCGATATGATGTACAATGAGATCAATTGCAACTGCAAGAAATATATATAAAATCAAAGAAAAAACAAACAAAAAAGAACAGACAACAACAAAAACGAAAGAATATATATGTATAAAGCTCTAAAATGTTGTATATTAAAAATATACCAAAATATGTTTACTAGTGTTTGTTGTTGCAAAAATATATAATATGTATGTACTTTGAACTAGTCGAACAAATTTAATTAATATTGAGAATTATTCTGTAAGAAAAACTAAATTATAAACAAATAAAACATAAAACGTGTTAGTTAAATTGCAACACGGAAAATAATTAAATAAAACGAGCAACTACCCCAAAAAAATATGGCTTTAAACATCAACATAAAAGGATTTTAAGAAAATAAATTAAATAATTACTAACCTGTATTATCAGCTCCCCGGGGTATAATAACATCGGCGAATTTTTTAGTCTAAAAAGAAGATATTTTAATGTTATTTATATTACTGCTATTTTTCAAATACTTACCGGTGAACAAAACTCTTCAAAAGCAGGCTTAACAAATGTCATATACTGGGTTAATACCGCATCCAAATCACGTCCTCTTTCATTGATATCACGGGGCACTAGAAGACAAAGTCATTGTGTTTTATACAAATTTAAGATTTTAATTGCAATTTTTCATGCATACGTACCTCTCCTGGCTAAACGTGTATCGGAATCAGTATCCACAAATAATTTCATATGAAACAAGTCCCTTATCTTGGGAAAGTAAAACACTAATATGCCTTCAAATAGCACAACGTCAGCTGGATAAATAGTCAATTTATTTTCATAATCTCTGAAAGTACAAAAAAAAAAAGAAAATTTAAATTATCTTAAAAACAAAATCTTCAATTTTCAATCAATTTTTTAAAATATTTATAGAACTACTGTTGTAAATTATTATTTTTGGTCCCAAAAATTATAAAAAAATTATAAATAAGAAAATTTTTTATAAAAAATTAGAGTAATTATTTATTTAAAATGAACATTTTTACAAAAACTCTAATAGTAAACAACTAGATTATATTACACAAAATATTTTATATACACTCAAACCTCGTTTTATGTGATTAATTCGTTTCGCAAAAAAGCGCATAATTCAAATTCGCACAAAACGATACACTAGCTCCATACAAAATCCACTAATTGGGTTTTAGATAAAAAGGCGCACATTTTCAAATTATTCCCTTAAAAGTCAAACAATCGCATATAAAAAAATAAAAAAATTTAATTCTTTACAAAAATTATAAAAAATAAAGGAAACAAACAACAAAATAATACCAATTCCAAATAATTAAGAAAATATACAACATTTCATAAAAATAAAACTTAATATTTCTTCATGTACAAAGGATTTGAACAATACTTTATATATCCGAACCGGAATTGGTAAAAAATCAGTAGTTGTATTTTGTTGATCAATTTTTTTTTTTGGATGTATGTGGACCAAAATCTTCCTTAAAATCATTTTTGCAAAGAAAAATTTTAGAATTTTGAAACCGCACTAATTAAAATTCGCATAAAACAAATTCGCATAAAACGAGGTATGAGTGTATTATATTTATTTAAAATGAAAATTTTTACAAAAACTCTAACCCTAAAAAACTATATTATATTACACAAAATATCTTTTCAGAAAAACTCGATTTCCAAAATTTTTTAAAAAAATCAAGATTTTGCCAAAAATTCGATTCCCTTAAAAAAGAAAAAAATTGCTTTTAAGGAAAACAAGATTTTTACAAAAGTTTTGTTGATCATCAAACCCGATTTTTGAAATTTATTAATTTTTTACACGAATTGCAATTTTCATAAAAAACAGATGTTTACTGAGATACCTATATGTGTAGTTTTAGATTGAACTCTTGCTTCTTATTAAATCTTTATACCAGATTTTATTCTTATACCAAAATATTGGGGATATTGTATGACAATAAACTGTTTTAAAAATTGCCCTTGTAAAGTTCCCGGAATCAAGTGTGGACCGATCCTCCTAATATTTCCAAAGATGATTTATAATTTTAGTTATTTTTGTCAAATTTCCTCGCGATACCAGTTATAAGAAAGAACGTTAAAGTAATTTTCAAAAGGATACCTTATTGTGGAGCTTAGGTTCAAATATTGTCTGATTTTCAACAAACTTTAGCGTGCGATTATCAGGTATTTTTAATTGATCCCTTCTATTAATAGATTTTTTTGTAAAAATTACAGTAAATCATTAAATAAAACAATTTTGAATCTAACTATATCCCTTTAACTAAGTAAACAATTCGATTGCATTTAGTATGAGTCATTATTGGCTAAATATTCTTGCTGTTACCATAGCAAGTATAAGTACTAGATTTTATGCAAACAGCCTAAGTTTTATATAATTTAATTTCATATTGCAAAAATAATAATTAAACCAAATATTATAAGTTAATTTCAAATTTAATAAATTTTACATTTACAATTACACATTTTGCACTTACAATGAATTTGTCCTATAGTCATAGGCTGGAATTTCCACTTTAACACCCTTCAATATGGATTGCAATGTTTCAAACATTAGCTGCTCATTAAAAGCATCGGGATGATCGAAATTGTAGAGGCCCTGAAAAGCTTTAGCCTTTTCGGCGGCAGTCAATTCACGATAGAAACTATCCTGACTAATGGTCACGACCTGACGTTGATCATGTTCCATATCGGTTTGACCCAATTCGGTCATAATTTTCTTGCATACTGTCGATTTACCACTGGCCGTACCGCCTGCAACTCCAATTAGAAATGGTTTTTTTACAACGTCGCCATTTGGCAAATTTAATGTTTGGGCGTTTTCCGCATCCATTATTTTTGTGCACAATTATTAATTACAAAAGTTTATTAATGATTTTCACTTTTTAAGGGGGGAAAAAACGTTTTAGTTTAGTAAAAATTTAATTAAAAATTAATTTTATTTAATGTAATCAATATGCCTTTTGCAAAGCAATTGTGGATGAAACAAGAAATAAGATAAAATAAACAGCTGTAGAAAATGACATTTGGTTAAATGTCATTTAAAAAAATAAAAACAAATGTTTTTTTGTAGCAGTAATAATTCAGCTGTTTTAAACGATTTTAAATATCCAATTTCGGAACCCTCCAACACCGCTAATGTGTTGCCAATAGCTTGAGGTGAAATCATATGAGAGGCGCTGCCAACTAGAAATGTATTGGTGGTGAAATTATTGTTTTCATGAAAACAGTTTGAGATTCACATCATATTTCTTAATAAAATTTCAATACAAAACAAGTAACAAATTATAGTCGGGTGAGACCGACCTTATAATACCCTACACAATTGACAAAAATATAATGCGATTTAGTTGCCATAATAAAGCATTTAAATTGAATTGTACCTTGCCTCAGATATACATACTTAAGCCGTTTATTGTTGAATAAAATTGTGGACATTTAAGTGAAATTTTGATGGGGACTTTTCATAGGGGCTAGGGTCATATGAGGACCTATTATTATGGAATTCGTGAGGGTCATCAAATCTTGTATAGAACTTGGTTTTTGCAGCTTTTTGTCGAGATATGAGTATATTAAACATAATTATGAACTTAAAAGCCCTATTCGGCGGGTTCAGTTGTATGGGGGCTAGGTGAAATAATGGACCGATGTAAACCATTTTCAACAGGCTTCGTTTACGGTACCATAAAATATCATGTGCCAAATTTCATTGAATTATCTCCAAAATTGCGACCTGTAGTTTGATTACAAAGTTTAAAAGCCCTATTCGGGGGGTTCAGTCGTATGGGGGCTAGGTGAAATAATGGACCGATGTTAACCATTTTCAATAGGCTTCGTTCCTGGGACAATAGAAGATCATGTACCAAATTTCATTGAATTATCTTCAAAATTGCGACCTGTAGTTTGATTACAAGGTTTACATGGACGGACGGACGGACAGGCGGACGGACATAGCTAAATCGAATCAGAAAATGATTCTGATCCGATTAGTATATGTACTTTAAGGTGGGTATAAGACCAATATTATTGTGCGTTACAAACATCAGCACAAACCCAATATACCCTCCTCACTGAAGTGGTGTAGGGTATAATTACCCAATCAAATGACATAGTCTAAAGCAATTTTTGTAAGTAAAAACCCAATTAAACATTTTTTGGTGATGAATTATTTACAATATTACTGAACACAGTTTGAGAGTCATAACAACATAAAATTAAGAGACATTAATTAAAATACATCATCCATACATACATACATACATACATACATACATACATACATACATACATACATACATACATACATACATACATACATACATACATACATACATACATACATACATACATACATACATACATACATACATACATACATACATACATACATACATACATACATACATACATACATACATACATACATACATACATACATACATACATACATACATACATACATACATACATACATACATACATACATACATACATACATACATACATACATACATACATACATACATACATACATACATACATACATACATACATACATACATACATACATACATACATACATACATAGAAAAAAAAAGTAGGAAAATGTCAGTTTTTATTCAGAATTTTGAAATCCTTGTTTAGTTTTTCGATATATATAAAATTATCAGTAAATGTGGTCACCTTTTTTCATATTTCTGTTTTTATACAAATTATCGATTATCGATAATTATCGTTTTTGGAAATACACTTATATGACTTGTTTCCATATTTTACCCGCTGCAGATTTGATAAAAACATTTTTTATCGCAGGCACAAACCATATAGCAAGGTACTATTCAACTTTTGGAATAACTTTACGTAAATTACGTGACGTAATAACAAAACGATGTGTGTGTAAACTTTTTTAAAAATTGCAATAAAATCCCTATAAAAACGGAAAATAAAAAATCCCTACATTTTATGAAAATACCAACATTTTTAATATGCGAAATACTCTTTAATATGCAAATTTTTACTAACTAATTACATTTGATTTCCTAGCTTCAGAACGTCTTGACGTACCCGACTTTTTACTTTCATCTCTCTCCATTTCTTTACTTTTTATACGAGCTGCAACAGCTGCCACTAATGCAGCACCACGACCCGAACCATCCTCCGATAACATTAAATCAAACTTATGTTCGGGTCTTGCTAAACATTTGATTTTTTGCGTCAAAAGATTATGATAATGTGGATGAAAACGATAGACACTGCCATCAATACCCACGACCACATAAGGATCACCTATACGATCGATAAGACAGGCCAAGTTTGCAGCCACCAGATGAGCCGATCTGCGTGAAATACATTCACATATATAGCGTACATTTTCACAGTCGCCATCGGTGGGATTTTTATAGCCCAGTGTCTCGAGGATTTCTCTAGCAATGACATAAGTGCCGCGATTTTCCTCTTCGATTTGTGAGATATATTTCGTTTTAAAGGAGTCTCCTTTACGCAGTTGTTCACTCTCGTTGCCTTTGAAGAGAGCACCAGCTTTGCAGCAATCAAGCATGATTAGACGCACCAACTCACCCAAATACATACCGGACAACATCTTTTCAAAAACTTGTCGACCACGATTGTGTGTAGTTTCATCAATTTGACGGTCATATTTAGTGCGCACAAATTCTAAGCATCCCTTGTCACCAAAGGCACCCCATTCACAATTTATGATCATTGTAGGTACTCTATTATTTGGTTCGGGCTTATAAGTGTCGATATTCTTAATCTGTTCCAAATAACAGGCATTTGAGCCAGTTCCCACTATGAGACCAATCTTACAATTGGGATTTTTCCAAGCACAAGACATTAAAGTGCCCGTAGTATCGTTGAGTATAGCTGTTATTCCGACCTTAACATCTCCACGTCGATCTAAGGCCTCACGTAATAATTCCACTACATCTCGTCCCACAACTCCGGGACAATTAAAACCCTTTGTCCAGGCCACTAGCTCGCCTTTAATTAAACCAGTTTGTTTAAGCGGAAAAGAGAAAGTGAAACCCATTGGCAGTACTTCATCCTCCTGTGCTCCCAATGTCTTTACAAATTTTGCCAAACATTCGGCTATATGATCAAAGAGATCTCTACCAGGACCCACCAGTAATTTTTCTGGTATAGCGTACACTTCAAAATCCATACGGAAATTGGTTTGTCCCTCCAAATGTATGCATAAGACACGAAAATTAGTACCTCCCAAATCTAAGGCAAGAAATTTTCCGGTTTCACAACCTGATGGCAAGGATTGAACATAAGTAACCCAACACTTGACCGTGGCCTGGGGATTGGTGGCTTTACATAGGCCCATTTTGATGTCGTTTAGAAATAAGTCTTTGACTTTTCTTAAAGTATCGTCGTCCAATACTAAAGGTTTGCAAATTTCCAAAACGATATCGCGATTCTTTTGCTCATCATTTTCGAGAGACATTTTATAAGAATTTTTCTTTTTTTTATAAAATTTACAAGAATTTCTAACGTAAAATTTTGTTGAAAAAATATGATTTGAAATGCTAGTATTCTTTTAAATTTAATTTGTACACAGAAAAAAATAAATTGGAAATATCCTAGATATCAAGGTGTTTGAAATCATTCGGGTGACTTTAATACAATTGTTTTCATAATTTTATTGATTTTCATAATTATTTACAATGACAGCGAACTTTAAAATTTTTAGTTGATTTAACTCTAGTTTTAAATTTCTTATAAACTTTGCTCTTTTGCTTAGGTAACTTCTCATTGGCATTATTTAATATCACACCACAGTTGGTAACTTGAGATTTTCTTTTTTCTACTATCTTCTTATTTTTGGCTACACTTATAGCCACCAAGGCGGCACCACAGCCCGTTCCTGCTTCCGACACAATAAAATCAAACTTGTGCTCTGGTTTAACCAGATTCCGAAGTTTCTCCCGTAAATATTTCTCATAAAGAGAATGGCAACGAAAAATATTTCCATCAATGCCAATAGTGACAAAAGGATCTCCTATACGATCTATAAGACAGGCCAATGTGGCCGCTACCAAATCAGCCGAACGTTTAGAAACAACTTTACAAATAAAGCGCACATTTTCACAATCCGCATTCGAGGGTTTTCTATAGCCCAGAATATGTAAAATTTCTCGGGTAATATAATGGCTACCTGAACTTTGAGATTCAATATCAAAGACATAAGACGTCTGAAAACTATTGGTTTTCTTTAGTTCGCTTGTCAATTCGCCTTGCAGAAGTACGGCCGATTTTATACAATCCAACATTATAAGACGCACTAGAGCTCCTAGATATAAACCAGCCACCATTTTTTCGAATGTACGTTTAGTTCTAGTTGAAGAATGTTCATCTATTATCAAATCCCAATTGGTGCGTATAAAATCCAAAGAACCGTTATCACCAAAAAAGCCCCATTCTGTATTAATGACCATAGTGGGTATGGTGGGTATAGTGTTCTTGTCTTGAAAAGTTGTTATATATTTCACCTGCTCCAAATAACAGGCGTTACAGCCATTATCCATTATAACACCGATTTTACCATAATGATTCTTAAAAATACAACTCATTAAAACCGCTGTGGTATCATTCATCAGCACATAAGTACTAATCTTAATTTGACCTCTACGTTCAACTGCCTCTTGCAACAACTCCACCACATTGCGACCTATAACATCGGGCAAATTGAAATTCTTTCCCCAACTCACCAGTTCACCGTCATGTAAACCCTTCTGCTTAATGGGAAAAGCGAAAGAAAACGCCAGCGGCATTTCTTCCATATGAAGATTTAAGTTTCTCACAAAATTACTCAAACACTCGGCCACATAGTTGAAGAGATTGAGGCCGGAACCTTCTAAAAGATTATCCGGTATATTGAATTTTTCTACGGTTATTTTATATTTCATTTGACCATCAAAGTTCATAAGAACCACACGAAAATTACTGCCGCCCAAGTCCAAAACCAAACATCTACCTTTTTCACAACCAGTGGGTAGTTTCTGGACATACGTTAAAAAACATTTGACTACGGCTTGGGCATTGGTGTTTTTCCCTAGACCCATTTTAAGATCTTTTAAAAAGAGTTCTTTGACTTTCGTAAGAGTTTCAATGTCCAACTGCAAAGGTTGACACAATTCTTCAATTATACGACGATTTGGTTTTTCATTTCCTTTTATGAAGCCATCAGTGGTTGCTGATATGGGATCTTGAAACATGTTTTGAAGTTGACTGAAAATTTTGAATATTTTTATAAGTATTTTGTTTTGTAAATTTCTTGGGAAGGATCCAAGTTTTCCAAACAAGTTTAGGAAGCCATATTATGATTAAAAATTTTTAACTAAATTTGACAATTCGAAGTTAAGTTTGATGTTCGAAAAAAACTTAAGGTTATTGAAATAATCTCGAGACCTTAACGATTCCCTTAACTTTTTACATTTTCTAATTTCAAAGTAAAAATTTTTAACAAAATTTGAATCCAAAATTTTGAAAAATAAATAAATATTTAATTAATATTTTGAAATAAATAAAAGACTTTAAATTAAATTTTTAACATAAAAAATATTTAATTTTATTTTTTTATTTCAATGAAATAAATTTATTTTTAACAATTTATTGAAGAAAATTTTGTGATAAGAATGGTATTGCAGGTGTAAGTAGCTTTTAAATGTTTATTTGTTTTTTTTTACAGAAATATATATAAAAAAGATTAAAACTAATTATCTGAATAATTTTTTAGATATAGTCTAAAGATCTAAGAGATTTACTTAAAATATAAACGAGATTTGTTTTATGACACAAGAGAATTCAGTTTTCAAAAGTTTTTTACACAAAAAAACTTTAATTTATTAAATATGTATTATTTTTTGAAAAAATATTTATTATATTTTTCTCTAGAAAATTATAAAAAAATATAATAAATAAATTTGCAAATAATTTGAAATGTTAGTGGATTTATTTTAAATATAATTCTAAATAAATTAAAATCGAAAAATAAAGAAAAACAATATAAAGTTTAAACTCTTTTAAAACATTTTTAACATAAACTAAATGAGAATTCGTAACACGTTCAACTTAATAGAAAAATAAAAAACATAAATAAACTTTTAAACAATATAAAAAAAATGATGAAAACTAATAAAATATGGAAGTTCAAACTAGTGTGAGGTAAAACTATACATTTAAAACAAAAAAATAACTAATTTAAATTAATTTATAGCAAGAAAGAAACAAGAGGCTAAAAGTTAATTAACAAATTATTAAATAATTACATGCAGACATATTTTTTAAGCAATATGTTAAAATAATAATTATTAATAACAGAAACAAATATAATAAAAAAATATATTTTTTTTAAATGGGACGTAAAATATTAACGAAACTTTTAGGGAGGTTAACGTACAATTAAAATTGTTTTGAATTTTTTCAAAAACATTTTGTAATGGACCAAAAATCTTAAAATATTCTTACAATAAAAATTTACACTTAAAACAATATGGAGAATTTTCAAAAGTCACGTTAGAAATAGATCTAAAGCGGACTGTTCGTTAAATTCGGTATGGAATAAATCAAAAGCATTAAATGGCTCTAGATTCATAAGAGGACTGATGCAGGAGGAAGGTGGTATAATGGGATCTACGGACAAACTTAAGGAATCAGCAGCAGGTTCCATTAAACGTAAACTCAATTCTAAAGGATTTTCCAAAGTTTGCATTTCGGTAGGTGAGCATTCGTAGGGTTCGTTGCGGGTATTGCTGGTATTATTCGTGGTCTGTAGAGGGCTTAGACAGCGTTCGGAAAGATTAAGAGACTCTCCATCAGATTCTAGCATTAAATTACTTAAATCTGACATGGAATTGTGATGTTGAGGATGGCTATAGGTAAAGTGATGATTGGCTACGCTTTGCTCAAACATATACGAAGAATTCGATATGGGCGAGGCCGAAGATTCGGAGGCGGAAGAGAGCGAGGCATAGGCTGAAGAAGCATTTGAAGCGGGAGATTCTTGATAATTATTGGGAATGGGTGAGGTTTGACATGCATTTTCAGTACTAGTTATTTTTTGTTTTTTCACTGATCTTTTGGGTGTAGAAGACGTGGAAGATTTTCGTGAGTTGTTTGCAGGTTTTGTAGTTTTAGTATTTTTATTATTTTTATTCGATTTGGAGGACTTTTCTTTTGTTTCCTTTACCACCGGTTCCAAATTTTCTTCGGTTATTAAAGGTTCTCTAACTCTGGGTTGTGTACATTCGTATAGTAAATCATAATCAGCCTCATTGGGATTTTCTAAAGCCTCCGTTAAGAGACCAATGTATTTCATGGCCAGACGTAAAGTGGTAATTTTGGTTAATTTCTCATTAGTACAACCGGAATCCTCATTCGTTATACAAGGTGGCACACAAGTTCTTAAAGTCTCAAATGCAGTATTAATTTCGCGCATGCGTGTTCTTTCTCTAGCGTTAGCCGTTTTTCGCCGATATTTGCTTAAAGGAGCCGCTTTTGTTTTCGATTTACTACCCGCCGTGGCACCACTTGTCGCCTGTGAGTTCTTGCTGGCTCGACAATATTGTGTACTGTCCCTAGAGTTATTAAGGGACTCGGTTGAATTATCACTGGCATAACCCTGGGAATCTAAACTGCTATTAGTTAAGATGTGCTTACGTTTCTGTCTCTGACGCAATGAATACTTTTCACTATCCATATTGGCCATTAAATCAATTTGGGGGGTTCTATCTGTAAATAAATAAAAATAATTGATTTATATTGTTAATAACCATATTTATATCAAGCGATTTAAATCAAATTCTTAATATTTAATTTATGACAATTGCACTAAAAAAAAACACTTTGAATAATAAAACATACAAAACAATAAAAAAAACTGATACAGGTACGAAAATAAAAAGTCAGTTAAGAAAAAAAAACTCTACGTGGGTGTGCAAATTGGTTCAATATTTTTTGTATTTTTGTCTCAGTAACATTTACATAAAAATCTCTGAACACTTAAAGTCTTTATTAAATGAAACGTTGACGAACGAATGTTTAAATGATTAAATGCATACAAATGTAGTCAGACATCTATTCACACCTACTACACTTCTACCATTGGCGCTCTCCAATCTTTTCCAAAGCCCCATATGATCTTCTGTGTTTGTCTTTAGAACATTTATTTAGAGAGGGTTAAGTTCGAAATACTTAAATAAGATTGTATATTTTGTTTACTTTACACTACTTCTCTAAAGGTAGAGGGTGTTGTCAGTTTGTTATTGTGTTGAAATGCTAGTAAATTATGAAATAAAAAGTAATAAACTGAAAAAACTAAACTTTTAGTATTTTTTATAGCAGAATTCTGCATAAATTCTAAAAAACTCAAACTTTGTCCCTTTTTTTCTTTGCGGAATTTCCCTTTTGATCAGTTTTCCAGTGCTTTTTAAACTTATGCTAAAAAAATATGACAACTTCCTACTCTTTAGGTCATTGCCATACAGTGTTGCCATATATTTTTTGAAGAAAACTTTTTATTTTTATGAAAAAACTTTTTTTCAACAAAAAAAACTTTTTTTGTACTAAAATTACAAAATACCCAAGAAAAATTAGTGAAAAAATGAGCAAATTGAGGAATTTTAAATAGCTTAATGATAATTGGTACAGAACTTTTCCTTAACATCAGTAGCAAGGAATTACTGGATATTGTGGTCTTAGACACCATAAATTTACACTTGAAATGTCATGATGAATCTATGTAGATTCTGTGTACTACAAGAGGAAACCTCTGAACTTTTGTAACTACCCATCATTGGGAACTCGAAACACGAAGATTTTGTCTTACCCAGACCCAGATGATATCTTCAAACACTCACCGATTAATCCATTTATCTTCATGCGCGAATTTGGCCTAGTATGGTGAACCAATGGGCTGCACAAAATCTCTACAATATGGTCGAAGTGCATTGTGTCCTTAACGTCTATTCTAAGGGATTAAGGTCATCAACACCGGTTAATTTTTTTCAGTTTTAAGGAATATCTCGAATATTAATGGTATAAAATATTATTTTGTTAATGGTAAACATTGTTTTTTTATTTTAAACTTATTTATTGATTAAATAAAATAAAAACTGAAAAACTGTATAAATTTTCAAAAAACTTTTTTTATTGGAATAAAACTTGAAAACTTTTTGAATCTCAAAAAACTTGCAAAAAAAGGGAAAACTTGACATATGGTAACACTGTTGCCATATAAAATTGAGATGTTTCTATTTAGAAAGTTTTAGAACCTCAATGCTATTAATTTCCAGTGCATTTCAAACTTAGCTAATAAAAGATGCAAATTTCCTCTTCCTAGATTATCAATGTCATGTCAAAATGCCAATATTGCCATCTTATAAAGAATGGCACAATAAATGGGATAATTAAATTTAACTCTTTAGTTAATTATTAAAAACTTTTTATTTCCAGTAAAATAATTTCGTTGAAAACTAATTATTATTTTATTTTACTAGATTATTACAAATAAATTCTTACTAATCTTTTTAACAAAAAAAAATCTTGTTATGTTTTTTTATTCGATTAAAATGTCTTCCTCTGCCCACATTTTAATTTCCCTTGTTGATTCAAAAAAAAAAAAAAATATTCAAAAAATAAATTTAAATATTCGTGGTATACATATACAATAATAATAAAAAAATACTAACAACAAAATTTACTAACCATGTTTAGAAATGTTTATTGTTTGTTTTGTTTCAAATTTAAACCATGATTAATGAAGCATGAAATTTATGTTGATATATGATGAATATAGAAAGAGAGAAAGAAGAAGCAGAACAAACATGAAACTTATAAAATAAAATAAATATTTAAAGAAGTTAAACATAACTTTGTCATAACACCGGAAACATTGGTATTAGTTTAATTTTAATATAATTTAGGGTGCGCTTATAAATTAATTCAAAGTTTTTTAATTGATGTTTTAATGATATCGGCGACATACGAAATTAGTTATCATAAATAAAATTACAATAATTAGTTAATCTATAGAGCATAAAAATTAACAAAATCAAATTATAAATACTGCTATTGTTTTTCAGCAGACTTATAACCTATGACTCAATTGTTTCTATGTCGTTTAATTTAAATTTAATATAAATAATATGAAAGAAAATGAAATTTTGTTTACACTTTATAGTAAGAGTTCAATGTTTTATTTATTTTTTTTATTAAAATACTAGTCACGTAATTG